TATATATATATATATATATATATATATATTTATTTATTTATTTATTTATTTAGAGGGACCCACAGTTGAGTTCTTTGCTTGTCATGGTTTTCCATTTTCCACTAATTTCAAATTTGTAACTGTTGTGTTATTTGTTATAAAAAAAAGATGTGGAATAAAGATTGATTGAATCCTGGTGGAGCAACTCTTTTTACTTGCAGATTTCATCTCTACCTTTTTATAATTTAAAATAATAATAATAATTTATATAGAGTAAGATTTATTATTAATATAGATTCTTCCTATTTATAAACTTGTACCAACAGGGAGGGTCATGCTTCAATGATTGAGGAAATAGCAGACGACATTCCGTTGAAGCCGGACGTGGTTTTTACAGTTGTCGGTGGTGGGGGCCTACTATGTGGTGTCATCCAAGGGTTGAAGAGAGTGAGATGGAATGATGTACCGGTAATTGCTATTGAAACAGTGGGTGCAGATTGTTTCAATGCTGCTGTTAATAAAGGAAAGTTAGTTACACTGCCTGATATAACCAGGTAAGTAATGATAGTAAAATTATTATGATAGCAAGAATAATAACTGGAGCATTCACTCCATATAGTGCATACCTCTGCCCTGTACCTGAATACTAAACAATACACTGGCCAGTTATGGGCGATTCAACTATTTTCTTTATGTTTGAGGGTAAAATATTGAATTTCTGTGATTTTGTCCTTTTCTTCCCAAAATTGAATCATCTCTTTCTTTACATTATCATGTACCATTCTACTAAAAATTATGATCTAATCTTCAGTTTTTGCATAATGTTGCTAACAGACAGCAGTGAATACATAACCTCCTGTGGTGGAGGTAATAATTAAAATTTTAAACAATTGCAATGGCATCGACAATGTGGAAGACAACAAGGATGACAATGGTAGTGGACATTTAGACAGTAGAACGACTATATTAGTGAGCGCACACTTTGACCTTAACAATAAAGATAAGCAAATTTAAGTTATAGCCAATATTATATACACTTTGTAATAATATATTCTCTACATGCAGTGTTGCTAAGTCTCTCGGTGCACTGACAGTTTGCCAGCAAGCCTTTGATTACCACAGTGAGCATGAGATCCATTCTGTTGTGGTACCTGATAAGGATGCTGTTGAAGCATGTCTAAGATTCACAGGTAAAGATAAATTTTATTCCGATAGTGTTTTGCATCAGGAGAAATAATACAATCATACTGTTATCATACTATGTAAAAAATCTAAAGTGATTCGGGTGGCAATCCAACTGACGACCTCCAGATAACTAGGCTGGTGTCTTAACCACAAGTTCACTGACCCTCTGATTATTGGCTAGTGATGAATCCGATCCCCAAGTAACCGCAGGTAACACAATGCTATTCCGATGGCGTTTGAACTGTACTTCCACAAGTTGTCACCACAACCACCACTTTTTTAAGTCATTCGCATTCATGGATATATCATCATGGTAGTAGTACTACTATTTTTTCAGAGATTATACTGGAAACGCACAATTCCAAAAAGTTAAATTATCTTGCAATTCTGTTTCCAAGCAACATAATTTACTTGGATACCTGTTTTATTACTACTTTCTTCAGTGATTCTTATGGAAAAGTGGAATAACACATAAGTTGCAGCATCATGGTGCTGAATTGAGACATTTTTCTTGCAGATGATCATAGAATTCTTGTTGAACCGGCATGTGGTGCTGCTCTTGCTGGCATCTACAGCGATATTGTTCCCAAGCTTCAACAGCAGAGCAAGTTACGGGGCGCAATTCAGTCTGCAGTTGTCATTGTGTGTGGAGGATGCTCAATAACGTTTGAGCACTTGAACAAATACAAACAACAATTTGGATTATAACAATCTAAAGTATTTAATTTTAATTATTTAATGGTTTGGTTTGATTTGATAAAACTTTGCATCTATATGCAATTAATTTAATAAGTTTAGATCATGAATGCCTTTAGCATAATTTTGAGAACTATCATTAATTTTGGTATTTTATGTTTCAGGGTCTTAGAAAACATACCAGTACTTACATATTTATAGTCAACAAATTTTTATCAATACTAGATGTCAATTTTGCATTTTCTATGATTATTTTATTATTTATGCTATTATGAATAGGGTAAAGGAGGGAAAGATTTTACCTTTATTTGAAATTATTCAATTACTACTTACTTACTTTAGACAGATGCATTGTTCGAGTCCCACCCGAGAACAACTTGCGATTTTTTTCACAATTGTTTTCACACGTACTGAAGAGTATTCAGTACATTTCCACTTCAGGTAGGGCAAAATTACACCTATATTTGATTCTCCTGACGCAAACCATCACAACAATAACAATTAATATCAGATACATTGTGTTCCCTAAGTAATACAGTAATTAAATCATTCCAATCATATTTTTGTTCCAAATTTGTCTTTCTAATGTATTAATTTCATAAACAACCAGTGGCAAACCATTTTGTTAAATGTTAATAAGGGACAGTTGCGTGTTTACTGGGCATGAATAGGACAAACACTCCCCAGTACTTTTCAAAAAGGAAAATAAATACATATTGAAAATCGTGAATTTTTTATTTACCACTGTGGGCCACACCCAAACATTTTCCAGTGTGTGCTTTTACCAATGTTCAGTGTCAGGTTGGTGGGCCACAACAAAATCACTCGGGCCACATGTCGACCAAACAACCTAATATAAATAATATTACTGTACTTGAGGAAAATTAAGTTAATTGTACCAATAGCCTTTTCATCAGTCATGAAAGTTATACAGCACTGTTATTCTATAAATACAGTATGATTAAATATGCCCCAATAGAATTAAATATTTTGAAACATCTAAATCCTCCATTCCAAATCACATTTAATATCAATGTCCATGAGTATACATTTTGAAACACAACTGCTTTTTAAAAATTTAATTTGAAAATTAGAGAATTGGAATTACTTATCTAAAAGAAAACATTTTTTTCATAGCTATGCCATTTATTTAAAATAAACTTTATTAATCACCATTCAATATAATGTATCTGGAAAATCAAGTTAGGGAAATGTCAGTGACATACTGTACAAGCCATCTAAGCAAAAGGCCTTCAACCAGTTTGGGTTTCTGGTTTGACCACACCTCTAATGAACCAAATCATTCTCCTACTTCCATCAGAAAATCAAAATGATTAAATTCATCATTTACAAGTCAGAATTCCTATAACAACTCTTTTCATGGACCTCGTCTAGGCCATCTATGTACCCCTTGAGCTCTGGCTCTTATAGATTATCCCCACCACGCAAGGAATCCTGGTTAGTGGTCTGAGAAATATGGAACAGACTAAATTTCATCAGCACAAACTGACAAGATGTCAAGTAATGTTACTATTATCACAAAATATTTTAATCAGTGTTGTATTTCCCTAATCTAATCCCATTCCATCCTCAATCCCACTGATGTGCCCGTTCAAATTAACTTCCCATATGATTCTTCCATCAGCAGGATTTATAGCTGTAAAAAACTAAGTGTGGGTTGGTGATAACATTGGTGCAGGGCCATGAAATTAGCTTTAGACTGGGTGGCGTCGCCCACCATAACTCCTGCCATCAGCTAATGCATTATTGTGTCCCACCAAATTATAATTACTGGTACATACACCATGGTACTGTATCAGGGATTGCTTTAATATTTTTACAGTACAGTATATATAAATTAAGCTTTCTGAGCAAACTCCTTTAAGAGTTGTCCAGCAATGACAAGTCGTTGGATCTCGCTCGTGCCTTCATATATCTCTGTGATGCGGGCATCTCGGTAGTGGCGCTCAGCTGGCATGTCCGTTACGTATCCCATTCCACCAAGAATTTGTATAGCCTGAAAAAGTACACTTATATCATTCAGGCAATCATAATATTTGTTTTATAATCTCATATGCACAGAGCCATTGTTAACTTTAGCAGAAAAACCTACCAAATCACATCTAATATAATTCAAAATATTATTACCATATTTAGTCATAAATCATTAAGTAGAAAGTCAATGACCTAACAATTTCATTTTACCTGATGGGCATTGTATGTGGCTGCCTCTGATGCTGCTAGCTTTGCCATTGCTGCCTCCTAATAGAAAACAGAACACACCATTATGCACTATGCAAGTTCCAAACCACACTGTAATTAACATCTCAACGAGATTTGATTGACAGATAACTAATTTCCTTAGACAGCTGGTTTAAACGCGAAACATACGTGAGCCTAGGTCTAGATGTCTATGCAGTGCGCATCAATGCGACTTGGCCTTTGCCGACAACAAGGTTGACTGAATGCGGCTTTTCCCTCTTCCTTTGGGAGTGAAATACAGTGGCTTTTACTACAATTTTCCCGCCATGTTCCTTGAAATGGATTAACACTATGAATATATGATTCATTTGCATACCGCCTACCCTGAATTCTCTTTCTTAAAGAAGGTTGATAGCAAAGAAAGTCTTCGCTAACTCGGTAAGTCTAGCCGCTATTGTCTAAGGTTTTCGTGACTTTGTGGGCGGAGCTTCGCATCCTTGTCGACATGTTGTGTTGCAACTGAGAAAACAATGTTGTTTCAGCCATTATGGAGTAGTTTTTCTCTGTCATTTATCCAAGACAAACACATTAATATTCTTTAGAATGACTGAGAATATATAGGAGATACAGAAGATGGTGAGTGCTACAGCAATTTCTCAATCACACTCTTACTTTTGTAAAATTGAGTCCTGCATCCTTGAATGCTGCAGCTTGCCAGGTCAGCAAGCGTGAACTTTGAACTTTCACCTCCATGTCGGCGAGCTTGGCCTGCACCATTTGCATCTTGTTGATCGGCGCTCCAAACGCTTCACGCTTGGCTGAGTAATCCAGGGCACAATCCAGGGCAGCCTGTAAGAAATAATGTTTGAAAGCCAATACATTAAACACAAAGTATTATACAAGCAAAAAGCAGTGGTGATACCAGAGATTCCCTAACGAGGTGCCAATGTTCTTTGAAAGGGATTGCACACCCAGCGAGTACTGGCACTATCAGATTGTAAAAATGTTTATTCCCAAATAAAATGAATGCAGACACCCTCCTCCCACGAGTAAAATATTGCAATTTATGGAACCAACCTGTGCAATGCCTACTCCTTGCGCAGCAATTCCTATCCGACCTGCATCAAGAGTTGTCTGCAAAAATATAAATAAAATATAAAACATGTTAATTACAACAATACCTAATGAAGAGTAGTTTTATTGTCAACCAATCTGGTAGAATTATTTATAGAAGTACACCAATAAGCAAGTAACATTAACTCATAGTTAAATAGGTATTAGTATCCTCTATGGGTCCGTTCGAGCGAAAAAATATCCGTGCGATTCACCAGTTAATTCACCGGTACACACTTTCTAAAACCACTCGGACATTAGTCTAATTACCTTTCCATCTGGATTATCCGCTACAACTTTGACCACCAAATTGCTGGGTAGAATACCGTGTATGGAATGACCATGGAGCCGGAGGCGATGATAAATCAACCTTAATTGTTTTTCCAAAAGTTTTGCCCACAACCTAGCGCCAAATTCAATAGGTTTAACGGCCCAGGCGTGGTTGCAGCTCTCCTTCGCCTCCTCACAAATGCACGACGAAGTCATATATAGCTAAGTCATATATAGCTAAGCTACGCGATTGATTTGTAGATTTACCATTATTCGGAGACATAAACCAGCCTACGTACAGATTTTAAAGCAGCCATTATAAATTATTGAGCTACATTATCGTTCCACCGTGCCGCGCTGTGTGTACGTGGGCCGGTTATAGCAGCAGCAAGTAAAGAAAGAATGGGTTGTTGACCATGGGATAAGTTGAAATTTACTTCCGGAGTAGTTTCGTTACACGTATTTACCGTGAACTAAAACTTGCTCGAACTGTCGACCACCCGCTGAGTGCTCAGCGCGATTACCCAGTGAAATAAACGGAATATGGTTGGCGTTTTTTGCTCGAACGGGCCCTATGTTTTAACACTTGACTGAACTACATTTAAAAAAGAACCCTAATTTAAATCCAAAATTACATAAACATTTTTTTTATGAAGGAAAAAGCAATTAGAATATTATGTTTATATACAAGGAAGTCATAAAAACAATGTTTTTCTAATATCGTTCTTGGAGAAAAACTGAACCAACATCACTTAGAACTGATGCATTAATAATAATATTGACATGAAACTTCAATTACCATTGCAATCTTAAATCCAAATCCTGGTTCCCCTAGAAGGTTTTCTTTTGGAATTCTACATTCTTCAAAGATGAGGTAGGTTGTGGAAGTTGCTCGGATGCCCAGTTTATCCTCCTTCTTGCCTAGCGATAATCCTTCAATAGGCTTTGGAACGATGAAAGCACTAATACCCTGTTAATAACAATAATAGTAATAATAATAAGACTTATGAAGGAAGGTCACAAAAACTACTGTAAACCCAAAAGCTACAACAGACAATAATAAAGCAATAAAT